GCTCGGCCCCGGTCCGGCTGCAGATCCAGGCTCGGCCCCGGTCCGGCTGCAGATCCAGGCTCGGCCCCGGTCCGGCTGCAGACGCGCTCAGGCCGCTCTCGGCCGAGGCTGACGGGCGGCCGGGGCAGGAGCTGGCGGGGCCCGGGGCGGGGGAAAGCACGGCAGGATAGCCGAGGCATCAGCCAGTGACTTCAATTTCTTAAAATCCTTAAAATCCAGGGGGCAGCTTGTGGTCGAGCAACCAGATGGAGCGGCTCCGGTGGGGAACAGCCGCGGGGCGGCGGGCGGGGCGGGGGAGGAGCGAAGGGGCAGCGGTGCCGGCCGGGCGCCGCGGGGCCCGCCCTGCCCTTGCCCCGCTTCTCTTCCCTTGCCCCGCTTCTCTTCCCTTCCTTTCCGCGGCCCGGCCCAGCCCAGCCCGGCTGGGCCGAGCGGCGCTGCGAGCTCCGGCCCCGCCGCCATGTCGGGCCCGCCGGGGCTGCCGCTGCTGCTGGGGCTGCTGGGGCTGCCCGGGCTGCCGCAGGCCCGGCCCCGCTACGAGCCCGCCTGGGGCTCGCTGGACGCCCGGCCGCTGCCCGCCTGGTTTGACGAGGCGAAGTTCGGCGTGTTCATCCACTGGGGCGTGTTCTCGGTGCCCAGCTTCGGCAGCGAGTGGTTCTGGTGAGCGGCAGCCCGAGCCGGGCCGTGGCCGCGCCCCAGGCTGTGCCGGGAGCAGCTGGGGGCAGGCGGGGCGGTGTGGGTGTGCTGTCCCCGCACTGCGGCGGCGTGGGCTGGAGCCCCTCTGCAGGCTGGCCGTGCAGCTCAGCTGGGTGCGGGAGCTCTGCCGCCACCCGAGGCCACGGACTCCATGGCGCAGTTTGCGGAGGAGGTGGAGCTTCTGGTGTGTCTGGGCACCTGTCTGCCCAGCCCCACACCTCCCGAGTACCGCGGCTGAAGTGACTAAACTAAGCAGAGAGCTGGGAGAGCTGAGAGAAGGGCCTGGCAGCACAGCAGTACTGGTGAGAGGTGGTTGGTGGAGTGGCCGAAAGAGACCTCTCCAGGACCACCATGAAGGGATGGGTGAAGGGGGTCTCCCTAGTGGAAACAGGCTGGGATCTCCCAGCCTCTGGAGCAGCCTTGTACACCCGCTGGAGCACTGCGGGGAGCACAGGAGCCCATCGCTACCCTTGCTTGGCAAGCAGCCTTGCTGTTTTCTTGTGCACATTTTGTACTGCTGATGGTTTTCTTCTCTTTTTTTACTGTTATTGCTATTATTCATGAGTGCTTTGCCCTAAAGAGAACCTAAAGCTCTGATCCTTCAGATAATTTCAGTTACAGGCTTAATGAAATCTTTGTTCTGTAGTGTTCACTGGTACAGGCCCTTTGGCTGTAAGCATGTTTCTGCTGTCACCTTTCCATGCTCTACCAAGAACTTCCTGTGAGATTTCAAGTGAGACACATTATTATTTACAATATGAAGATGAGGGTAGCTTTGTGGCAGAGCTATGGTGAACCTTAATTACAATACTTGCAAAACAAGCTAACATTTATCTAATCAAACCAATGTTTTCTGACACCTCTCTCTTCAGAATTAAGGTCAAGCATTTCAGCAGGTTTTTAATGCAGACTATATATACTAACAAATTACTTTTAGAGGGGTGGGACAGAACTAGGTTGGGTTCAAGCCTCGCTCAGAGTGCTGTACTCTGATAGTGGTTACAGACTCAGGATCAAGCATTTGGTTTTTGACCCCAAAACTCTAATTTCTTTTTACATTCCTGTGTTCTCCTGTCGCTTGGCAGGTGTGGGTCTAGAGCTGCTTCAGGGCCTTCTGACAGCTTGTGCAGTCAGATGAGGTCCTGTGTTAGCAGCTTCAAATGGAAGGTCATAAACTGTTATCACCCATCCTGTGTGCCTTCCCGCAGAGCTCCACAGCCTGTAAGAATGTTTCTAGAATGTAATCATGTCAGCATGGAAGTGTTCATGTTAGCAAACCATGTGACTATGCAAGGTTTTGAGAAGCAAGGTTGTTACTTTTTAATTTAAGAAATATTCTTTGGAATCTGAGGGTTTTTTTTTTTTTTTTTTTAAAAATTTTTTTTTTTTTGCTTTTTTTTTTTTTCTTTTGCCCCGTTTTTTTCATTAGGGAAACTTTTTTCGGCTTTTTTTTTTTAGTTTTTTTTTCCCTATTGGCTGCCAGAGATTTTGTTGGTTTATGCTGAAGGGCTTTTGGGAAGGTTGCAACAATATTCACACTATGGTCTTAGAAAACTGAGATCAGAGTCCAGCTCAGGACAAGAGAGAGAAATTAATTTCAAACATTTAAATTCTGGCCTGTTTTATTCCTTCACTTACCATCTATTTTCATATAAGTCTAAATTTGACAAGAGGATTTTTGTTGCTTGGTTTCATTCATAGAAAGGTGACAGAGGTGCATTTGTGAGTGTGTGGTGTTCTTGCACGGGTAGGTTTTGTTTGGAGGACGTGCCTTCTTCTAGCAGGGTGTCTTTGCTTGCAAGCCTCAGGTGTGCAGAGTCTGCAGTGACCTGGTCACAGCTCTCTCTGGCCCTGGGGCTTGGGACTGTCAGAGAGGTAAAGCTGATGATCCCCATATTTGTGGGTGGCAGAGCAGAGATGCCTGATGGCTGAGGTGTGAGACCTGTGGAGGTAAGGCATGCAAGTCCAGGAAAAATGCATTTCTCATGCCACCTGAGCTGCTTACACAGACTGTCTGTGTTCTCTAGTACAGTGTTGAGATTTGGGTATTGACCAAGATTGTAATTTTTTCATTCTCAAAGTATAGCTGCTTTTTTCATTGCTTCAGATGAAATTCTGAGACTTTTCCAAAGTGGAATGCAAATATGTAGAACATGCGACAGATAAGATAGAAAAAAGGAAATCTTTGCTAATCAACACTCTTCTGGAGAAATTTTGTCTTATTGCCAGTGTCATGTACCTCCAATGCCTCTTCCTCTGTGTTAAACAGGAGCTGATAATTTAAATTCTCTTTTATCTAAAAATACATCAGCAGACATACTTTGTCCCTGTTTTGTAGGTGGTACTGGCAGAAGGAAAAGAGAGAGCCCTATGTGAAATTTATGGACACAAATTACCCACCTGGCTTCAGCTATGAAGATTTTGGTCCTCTGTTTACAGCAGAATTCTTTGATCCCAACCAATGGGCAGATATTCTGAAGGCTTCAGGAGCAAAATATGTTGTCTTAACTTCAAAACATCATGAGGGTAAGAGGAAGCTTTGTGAATGTTAGTAATTGCTGCATTTCTGTCAACAGATGAAAAAAGCATGTCACTTTTCTAGCTTCTAAGAGACATAGAGGAAACCAGGCAGGCTTACCTGCCCCACCATGGCCAAAGAGGAAACAAAAACCACCCAAGAAATGTACAGGTGTTTTAGTGACTCTCATACAAAAGCTGTGGCCATGAAGTTTGCATAGGAGAAGCAATATTGTGCCACTGTTCTCTTGCCATAGGTAAAACAGCCTAAAGTGGTGGTGGCAGCTGAGCTTTCTGCAAATGGCCATAGTTTATTTTTTATTTCTGTGCAATTTATTGCTGAAGAAACCATAAAAGTGAATTCTGCACTGTTTTAACATTTGGAGAACTGCTGTTCTCCAAACTCCCTTGCTTTCTCCAAGGCTGGCAACTTGTGATGTGTCAATTTTAATCTCAGCTCTGATGACAAACATAATTCTTGATCTTGAATTTCACTTGCGGTGAAATTCCCAATGACTTCAAAAGAACCAGGATTCATTTAGTCTGTCCAATAACCTTCTGCATGATTTTTTAGGTTGTTTAGTCCATACAATCGCATGCATCCAGTTCATGGAAATAGCACAAGATTTATTAGACAGTGAGTATAAATGGGTTAGAAGGTGAGAGTGGAGGTCCTCTGGCAGTCTGAGTCTGCAGTGCAGAGTATTTATAAGTGGTTGTGCTGGACTGATGGGTGTCTGAAAGGTCAAATCTCTCCTGATATTTAATCTTGATGTTTTAACAGCTGTTTCAGGAGTTTTTGCCCTCTCCTTATACATATACAGAGTAGCCGATTGAGGTGTTATAAATATCAAGGCAAACAAAAAGTGAACATTTGCATACGATGGAAACAGAAAAGAGGAGAACAGTCTTTGAATGCAAATTATAGCTTGGGCTTTCTGCAGCTGAGAAACAATTCTATCTTTTACTTGCTGATTGTGTATTTACAGTTCACATTTGATGTAGATGCCTCAAAAGCTGCTGTATTTTTGGTTAATTTCAGAGTCATAGAGTTAGAGAATGCCTTGTGTTGGAAGGGGCCTTAAAAGTCATCTAGTTAATTTAAGTCATCTAGTTTATTTAATTATTAATATGAATAGAGTGAATAATTAAAGAGAAGGAATAATTATCCTAAGCAGTACAAAACTGGAAAATATAAATGTATGTGTATGTATAAAAAAATACATTTCTGATATTAAAACTACTACCATTCTGCATAAACAGGTTATAGGCACACTTTATACCATGACAACAATATTATTACATATATAATTTTAGTTATTTTAAACAACACTTCCAACCACTTTCCAGAAAGAAGAGGTATAAATGTCCTCTCTTCTTTTCTTTCTTATCCTTTGATTTTTCTCTTTTTAGGCTTTACTTTGTGGGGGTCCAAATATTCTTGGAACTGGAATGCTGTTGATGTGGGACCAAAGCGAGATCTTGTTGCTGAATTAGCAACATCTGTTAGAAACAGGACTGACTTGCATTTTGGGTTATACCATTCCCTGTTTGAATGGTTCAATCCTCTCTTCCTTGAGGATGCCACCAATGCCTTTAACACAAGCAAGTTTCCAACCAGCAAATCGTTACCAGAACTCTATGAAATTGTGACCAAGTACCAGCCAGAAATAATTTGGTCTGATGGGGATGGAAATGCTCCAGATACTTACTGGAACAGCACTGGTTTCTTGGCTTGGCTGTATAATGACAGGTACATAATGATGCTGGTTTAGCTTCTTATCTGAAATTCTGCTCTCTGTCTAGTTTGTTTCATTTTCTGTTTGTTTTGTGGAACCTGCTACTTCTACTTAAGGGGACTTATTAATTCTCCTGAAATACAGAATCCAGATCTTTCCTAGAACTATGAAAACTGGCTTTAGAAAAAGACTGTTTGGTACTTTTTAAACACATTTGCAAATTAATAATTTAAGTTGGTATTGGCTATTCTGCTTAATCATAGTCTTCCCTAAGGATTTGCTGTTGCACAGAAACACAGGATAGCAGGACAATTTGAGAATATGGATACATTGTTGTCATCACAGACTGAACATCTGGTAGTGGATAAGAAGTGCAGAGTGATTTCTGGCAGAGGTCCTGTAAAAGTCTGGAGCTGATTTCCCTAAGAAATTCTGGTCTGGACCTTTTATTAGCAAAGCATGAGAATAGAATTCCTGGCATTGCACTTAATCTTATTGTAATAAATTAATAGTACAGAAATAATCCAAAATGTTAGTTCCTGGGAGGGATGTGTGTGGGAAGGGATTACTCTGGCTGTGACCGCGTTTTATAGAATAGAAGTAATAAAGCTCCTCTGTTCCCAGCCCGGTCCGGGACACAGTAGTGACCAATGACCGCTGGGGAGCTGGCAGTATCTGTGCCCATGGCGGCTTCTACACGTGCAGTGACCGCTACAACCCCGGGCACCTCCTGCCCCACAAGTGGGAGAACTGCATGACCATCGACCGCAGCTCCTGGGGCTACCGCAGGGACGCGCGGCTCCGGGACTACCTCCCCATCGAGGACTTGGTGAAGGTACCGTGGGCCACGGGAGCTGCTGCCACTCCCCATTCTCTCTTCTGGCTGTTATATTGTGCTGTTTAACTGTTTGGTTATGTATCTATTTTTATGCTGTTTGGTTATGTATCTATTTTTATGAATAAGATGATTTTAATTCAATAGTGCATCCATGAAATAATAAATAATTTTGTTAATTTCCAGCCTTAATCCTGACAGGATGGAAAATCCATGTACTTCTTAATCTTTCTCTTCAGTTGTTTCTGTAGAATGAATTTCTAGTAAAAATTTGGTCAGTTTCTTAGAAGCCGTTTTCCCTGTGAGTAACCGGCCAAGGACTGATCTTGACCATCTTATAATATAATTACCTTTTTTTCTAAGTTTCTCTGGTAACTGCATATGCAAGATGATGAGAAGCAAACAGTTGCAGTTTCTTAGCTCCTGTTTAGGAACTCCTGCTGCAAGGCTACATCTTTTCCCCTTTACAGACAAACACAGTTTATGACTCGGCAGTAGTTTTACTTTGTAGTGAGAAACTTTCCCTACAGACAGGTAAACACTACCAGAAGCAGACAGCTGGTGTTGTTAGAACATTGATTCCCTTACTAGACTGAGGTATTAAAAAAGATTTGAAGCTTAGGAAACCGGAATGAAAGGAAGACTGATCAGTCTTTTAGAATAATGTACTTAATTGCAAAATTCAGCTAGTGAGGGAAAGATAGTAACTGTTGCTTAATATTTGTTATTTCTAGTACTATCCTCACAAAAGACAATTTGAAATTGAAGTAACCTCTTTTCAGAGGCAGAAGGTTTGAATTAATCCAGCAGCATGTCTGCAGCTGTTTCTCACACTTACGCATCTCAATCTGTGATATCTGGAGGGCAGTGTGGATGTGAACATAAATTTTATAAGCTTTGTAGGAGGCTTCCTTGTGTTTTACAGATGTTTCTGTAAAATAGGAAAATCATCAAGCAGGAGGAAGGAGGAAGTTGCTTTTCTAAGATTCAATAAAGGTGAAGTAGCAAATATTTTCCTTATTCTACTCTGGTGCAGAGAAATCATCTGTCCTATTGGTAAAACCCTCAGTACATTCTTGCAGAAGTTGAAATGATAAAAGAGTTGTGGAGTCTGATTTTAATGTAGATTCAGGCAGACAGACTGGTGCAAGAAGGTATTTGTGTCTCTCTTTGGATGTAAAAATTGACAGCAGAGCTTTGTTTTATGGGAGATTGAATTTTGTATTAACTTCAGGGATGAACCTCAAAGTCTTAGCATGCAGCAGCAGCATAACTCATTTGGTTCATCATTCTGAAGGAGTACAGCAGACTTTAGAAAGTACTTTAGATATGTGATTTCATTACTCATAACTGTATGCTCTGTGTGTTTAAAAACACTTCAGCAACTTGTAGAAACAGTGTCTTGTGGAGGAAATCTCCTGATGAACATTGGGCCCACCCACGATGGTCGCATCGCTGTTGTGTTTGAGGAGCGCCTGAGGCAGGTGGGCTCATGGCTGAAGGTCAATGGAGAGGCCATCTATGGAACGAAACCATGGAGAGCACAGAACGACACAGTCACACCTGGAGTCTGGTAAGTCTACTGAACCAAAATGCAGGCTTTGGAAAGCAGCACCAATGTTATGCGAAGCTTTGAAATCCCTAATGACTTGATACTAGAGAAATCACCATCTTGGTTTGTCTGTGGTGAAGGAATTAATGCCTTTGTTAGTGTAAGTAACTGCATCTAAAATGTATATAAAGCTGTAGGTAGAGACTAGTTTTGGGATTATACTGAGGCTGAAAGGAAAGCTGAAAGCATTTCCTTGGTCATCTTTTACTTCTTGGTGTAGGCTAATCTGTTAGGTAATTCTATTTGCTTCTAGTGGGCAACAGAAATTAAAAAAAAAAATCTGGAAATACAAGATTGCTATTAAGTGTTTATCTGAACAAAGGAATACTCAATGTCACGTGATGTTTAGAAATAAAATGGGAAGATAACAGCAATTATTTGATTGCTAAATACAGTCAGTCTCTGCCCTCCCCTCTGCCACTGTTACTTGTAGCACCTTCATGATCAATCAGGGTTTTGGTTTTGACCCTCTTATCTCAGTGGGTGTTTTTACTCCCATTCCTAGTAAGATTTGACCATCTGGCCTGGAGATGCTGGACTGTTGACTGCTTAGTAAAATCCCTTTCAAGAGCAATAAAAAATTTTAACTAAATAGGAAGGAGGGAGGAATGTTTCAGGGGTATGCCACAAGATTTCCATTGGCATAGTGATGAAAATAGTATTTTTAAAAACTAGCTATGCAAGGTGGAAACTCTGTCACTCATACTATTTTAAAATTCTTTTAGTCTGCATGTTAGTGTATAGATGGGAGTTACCATGTTTTTCTGAATATAACCTACAGTTATCTGTTAATGATTCTCCATCCTGCAAGTATCGCTTTCCTATATGGCTGAGTTGATACAGTGTACTAAAGTTACAACAAATGTTTACCTCTGAATTCAGTTCTTTAATAGTTTTCATTACCTCTAGTTTGTTGAAACAAATTTGCAAGGAACAGCACATTATTAAAGGGCATAATTTATCTGACCAGGTGGTTATGTGTGTGAAAATGTAATTAATCCTGAATTTTCTAATCAATTTTTCCAGTCTTGAAAGCACTCTTATGTATCTATCACTTCTAAAGATTTACAAGGAAAAGCTGACATGCCTTTTTGGTTCCCATTTCCAACCAGGTACACGTTCAGCCCTAAAGAAGGGGAAGTCAGTGCTATCTTCCTTAACTGGCCAGTCTCTGGGATTCTGGAACTTGGTGAGCCACGGGCTAAGCTTGGAGAAACACAGGTAAAATAAGAGCGCATGCACACACCGTCCCCTCCTTCCAGGATGTGTCATGTTCCATCTTGTTTATTTAAGTTTCTGGCATCTTTGGGAATGCATAGCTGTTAGGACTTTGGAAGTGACCCAGCAAAATGTTTGTTTTCTTTCTGGGACCTCCTTGTCATAGTCCTCTCAGTGGCATGTTTCTTATCCAGCAAAGTTAGACTGAGATGTTGCTGGGATATGTTTTAGCTTGCAAACTAGGAATCACAAAGAGGCCAAGGAACAGGGGAAAAAACTGCACCATCCCTCCTGTTTCCTGTGTAGACTCCCAACTCAGCATGACTTTTCTTTAGAAGTAGCCATCGTCATGACTTTGGTGATACCAGAGTTGCTGTAGTGGTGCGGTTGTTTGAAGTCAAAGCCTTGCAGGAAAGGGATGTAACACAGTGGTTTTTGTTGCCAGGGAGGCTGAAGAGCAATCAGTGTTACCCTAGATGTGCATCTTATACCAAGTAGAGGTCAGAAGTTGAGGATAGTGATGCCACACCTACACTTGCAAGTAGCAAGTAACCCAATGGAAGCAGACTCTGTGCATTTAAGGGGGGATTCACTTTGGCTTAGTTCTGCTCTCATGCATGTCCATTAGCTGCTGAAATGCATTTAAGAGTGTTTCTGGACTGCCCCTTCTGGTCTAGTTCCACATGAAAGTAGTCTGACTGGTGCCAAGACAGCTCCATGACATGGGAGAAAGAGTAATTTCAGAAGTGATGGACATGCCTCAGGAATTCTGGGGGGATAGCTAGACTCTATGTGTGCTAGAAAGTACTGTTTCTCAGCAGCAGAGACTGGTCTGCAGCCGCTCCAACAGGTCACCAGCTGGTGTAAGTGACAACATCAACCTATTTGTGGTTTTTAGTTCTTCAGATCAGCTTTCTCTGAGATACCTGGCTGCCCTCTGCAAGAAACAGTCATGCTCATTCAAGACTACAAGTTTCATTGTGGGAAGCAGGCAGTTTGGAAACAGGGGATGCAAAGCTCTGTACTGTGGCTGCTAGATCTCTGCTTAGACCTAAATCCTACTCCAAATGCTTCCAAAAGGTGTATATTCACTTTCTACAGCCCCAAGTCCTTCTCAAGACCCAACATGAGTAGCTTTTTTACGTGCATATCTACTTGCAAATGTTTCCCCATTGCCTTTAATTATCACTCATTTGGCTAGTAAGTGGCATTTTTAGGACACTTGGTGAGTAAGGTAGCTATGGATCAATAATTACTTTGTCAATATTGCACTTATATGTACTTCAAAAAGGTGCTGTTCTAATTATAGTGTGTGTTTCTATTTCAGGTGAAGCTGGCTGGATACAGGGAACTGCTGAAATGGGTTGCCCTGGGAGAAAAGGGAATGGTTATTGCTCTACCTCAATTGACTCCTCAGCAAATGCCATGTCAGTGGGGCTGGACCTTACAACTGACGGACGTAGACTGAGCCATACTCTGGCTAGCAGGGAGTGCTGATGTTTTTTGCTCTTTCTTATCACTGGTTTTAAACTTGTTTGACTGAGAAAACCAATCAATTCACTTTTTCTATGAGTGGTGGGCTGTTATTAAAGGATGGAATGGAACAAACCTCACGAAGTCTAGCACTGGATAATTGATCCTCTGCACACAGTTTGTTTATCTGAACTTGTGTGAAATACTGAGCAGCTACCTTGACCTCTACACTTGGTTTCGTCAGTTTCTGGCCAAGTTATGTGAAGAATGAGGTGGGGGGGAACAGGCACTAGACTTTCAGAGACAAAAGAAAGAATAAAGCTCAAGCCAGTGTTCAAATGCATGTAAGTCAGTTGTACACCCTCTTTAATGCAAGAAATTTACCTTCCACAAAACTGCACAGTAAAAATGGACAGTTTTAGAGAAAAGAATATACTTTTTCCAGGTGTGTTTAACTAGTGGTAGCTGGCAATTTCATCTGAATAGTGTAATGTCTGCAAGAACAGGCCTGTAAAGGTTAGGAATTAATCATAAATGCATACAGGCAGTGCATATGTACATCCTAATTTCTCATCTTGGAAGTCATTGATTTTACATGTTCCTATTCTTGAGTAACTCCATCCATTATTGGGACACAGGTAAACTGGGAGAGGGTTAGGTTTTTATATTTTGTATAATTTTACATGGGTAAAACTTGCCTCTTGTTTACAGCCTTTGTTTATATACAGTTACCAGGGTGCCTTCTGTGGACTATTGAACAAAACATATACTTCAGTGACTAACTCTTGAAAAAGAGAAATAATCAGGAGTTGCTAGGGATCTTCAGCTTTGGCAGAGACAACATTTTAAGCAGAGAGTAGACTGCCTTCAACTTGAAAAATTTACAAACTCATCATGTGTCACGGTTTGTAGGGATAGACACAAGGTGAAATTAGCAAAGAGGAGGAGATAAAGGATAACAAAAAGCATGAATTATTTCTGTTTCAGTGTAGAGACTTTTTTCTTTTCCCTGAGTATGTTCATGAGTGCAAAATTCGTACTGTATAAATTAAATTTATTCTTTCAACTCTGTCAGGTTTTTGAGTTGATTGGCCAGGTCAACTTATTCTCTTCCCTAGTAATGTTAATACATACACGAATTATACATTAAAATATTTTATTACAGTACAGACAATTGGGCTCAAAATTAATACAAATTAAGATAAAATATTTACAAGGTAATGTGTACAGTGTAGCTGTTTGAACAGCATAAACAAGAGTATGTCTAAAAAAACACATTCCTTTAGTATTAAGTAACAGAGAGAGCAGACCCCCAGCTTGTTCAAGGGGAACATGCATCCATTGCCAAAGGCTTTCTGAAGAATGAGAGACTTTGGAACAAGATTTGTAAAGTTAAGGAGAAAAATATTTACTTTATAGAAAGAAAAATCTGGGAGCAGAAGAAGAAAAAAGCATTACTTCATTCTGCTGCTCAATGCTATTCTTAGATTACTATCATTAGCTCTTCCCCAAACTTAGACACCCCAGGCAAAAAAAAAGGGTTTTTTAGTACCTTGCTGTAATACTGCCACCAGATGCCTTTTTGATGCAATAAAAAACAACCCAAGGAATTACAGAATTGTTTACCCACTTTTGAAATAGAAAAGTCTTCACTTACAATGTTTCTTTCAACAAGGATATTTTTACTGGGTGAAGTATGCTTCGGTTAGAAGAAAATAGGGGCTCACTCCCACTTTCCTCAGAGAGCTCTTTCTGCTGGTCTGCCACTCCTACGCCATTATAAAATTAACCCAAGTCTCATCAGTAGTCACCAGGGATTTGTTATAAATACACCATCCATTTGTAAAAATGTGCAGATCATTTCTCTAGTTGCTGAGGAGTACTAAAAGCTTCATAAACATTAGCTGCAAAATCTTTCACTTGTTCCATCATCAACAGGTCCTGGAAGAAATGTATAAAATAAACTTCCTTAATCAAACACATTCCCTGCTATTCTGCCCGTACTGTAGTACAGAATTCCTAAGAAAAGCACCTGGCATTCCCATAGGCACAACTCAAACTTCTTGCTTTAGAAAGGTTTAGGAGCAGACCTGCAAGTAGAACCAAGGCCAGAAGTTTGTGCTTCTGCACAATTCAGCAGAAGAAGTTCTAAAAAAGTAGCGTGTTTTTGGAAGATACCAATTGACAAAGAGTTTGTTATGGCAATTGTTTTCAATTTATTTTTTTAAAGCCACTGAAATTAAACAAATTATTAAAAAGAAATATACAACATTAATTTCAAGATTTTGCCTGGGATACTGTAAATAAGGTACATTCTTACCTGAACAAAGTGACTGGGTGTTTCACTGCATACTGAATGGATCTGTCCATTTATTATTGGAATTATCTTGGCTAAAGGAAGACTGACACTGGAAAGACTAGGAAAGAACAAAAAATATTGACCTGCTCAGACACAGATGAAGCCACTAAAGTGTGATTATAGAATTCTAAATAATTACCACTTAAAAAGTAAGAATTTAAAGACTGCAAACTAAAATGTATGGATGAAGGTTTTTTTTCTCCATATCAAGGCTTTCCTTTAATGTAGAGAAGTACAAATTCAATTCCAGTCTGTGTTCCTATTGCACAGTTTCACACTTGCTTCTCGTGCAAGAGTATTATGGTTTAGTCAGTCTTTGCATGTGTATGTAATAGACAGGTCATAGAAGTGCCTGTCTACCATTTCATGCTATTTCAAACTAAACCAGGCTTCGGCAGATAGCCAAACTACAGACATTGAGATATTTTAAATTATGTAAATAGTATATATTTAAATTAAAAAATTAAGACATAACTCTCTGAAAGCCAAGTCACTACAATAAACATATATAAACCCAGTTATCATTCCAGGTTTTAATTTTAATATTTGAGAAAGAATATTTCAAGAATTTTAACTCAGATTTTGGATTTGTAATGTTCTCACCACACTGCTTAAAATCAAAGTTAATTTCATATTAAAAGCTATTTTTAAACATTCTTCTAGAGGGATGTAGAAAATCCTGCATGTTACTGCATTTTATCTGCATAGCAGTGAAACCTAAAGCTCCATGGCAGCTTTGGCTCCCTGTCACTGGAGGATCAGGGCAATGCCTGCACCCACTTCCTTGAGAGCCACAGGAAATGATGGAGGCTGGGGTGCTTGGAGCTCTTGGGCTGCAGGGGAAGGAGGGGTCTCCTTCTCACAGCCTCACTGGGCATATCTGTCAGGAGTCACCACCAGAAGGGAAACTCTCCCCAGCCCAAAAGGCAGTCTGCCTGTACTGAGTTCAGGCAAGAAGTGGGTATGGGTCATCTGACCTCTACTTCTAGGTCTGCAGGTAAAGGTGGGAAAGAATGTCACCTAATTCTAGTGATTTCAGGGTGGAAGGAAATGTGAGTCTTCCTAGCTGCCTACATAGCCAAAGTGAGGAGAACCCAGTGATCCTTGAAGAGCAAGAAGCAGAATAATATTTCCAGCATGAGAACTCCAAGAAGGTAGGAAAATCAAGAGCCTTTTTGGAACTCGCTATGAATCCAAAGCATTACTGACATGAGAACCACAACAAAAGAAAACATTTACCTATTTACAGAGCTGTTTTGAGAAAGGTCTTTTTCAGTAGGTCTAAAAAATTCTGCCATATTGTCCAGCAGTCGACTGAATCCTCTATTTAAACATGTGCTCAAAACTGTACTGAAGTCTGGACTGAAAAGAAAGAAAAATAGAAAGAAAATTTTATTCCTAGGTTTAATTTTTTTCAAAAAAAGCCCTGCAAGTATTCAGTGCTACAGGTGTGCCTCCCCTCATGGGTGATGTGTGAACCAGACAAATGCCACTAGCATTGCCACCTCATTGAAACACCAGCTCCCTTAACGACCTGAACTCTACCCCAAGATTACTAAAACCCAGATAAACCTGAAGCATTCCTCACTTCTATTTCTTACTAAGTAATAACATAGAAGGGACTTAACCTTGAAGTGCCCCACATCCCTAGCAGCTGAACTGTAAGAATAGATTGACATTTGCTTTAATTCCCTCATATCTTATGTTTATTATAGGAGCCTCACTTTTACCAACTCTCTGGTAAAAGGACACATAAAACCACCCTCAAAATCATGCATTAAAAATATATTCCAATAAGCTAAAACTGGTGCTCACTTTATCAAAGCAAGTAAATCCAATAAAATTACTCTCAATTTACCCTGCTTTAGCAGAAAAGAAGCACTCCTCTGTTCCTACATTACTGGAGAGTGGGTGAGGAAGAGATAATAGGTCTGATTGCCAAGGACATTCTGGGTATCTCATTAAGGCAGCATTATTTCTTTAAAAGTTTGAGAGCTCACAAATTTTGAAAATCCCAGCCTACAACTGATAAATATAAAAATTTAATGGAGAATGGTTACATTTCTCAAAGGAAAAGTTGTCAGCTTTTTGTATGAAAGTAATTGTCTTACATAAACAATAGTTTTGAGGAGGAGTTTAATGTGAACACAGTATATTTCTTTATACCTTTCTAGCATATCTCTAGTTTCATTCAGTAATTTAATCGTAGCAATGTCTCTTTCTGTGAGTCCACAGGCCTAAAAAACCAAAGACAGACAACTATAAGCAAGTGCCATCAGCAACCGTAAGAGCAGAAATAGGAAAGTTGAGTATCATGAAATTAAGTCAAGAGGTACAAGTCAAATATAAAAGAAAATATTGTTGTAAATCAGATTCTTTCTAATTTGTGTTTTAAATGGTCACTGTAGGATTTTTAACTAAAAACAATACTAGCAGGAAATACCAGACTATTTGAGGAAGAAATTTTTCCAATCTGACCTTCAATATTGAAATTATCCCAGTGTATCAAATAAAGTTAAAGCAGTAAATGCATGTAGCCACATGCTGAAGCCCAGGTTTCCTCATTACACCAGTGTAATGCCAAGTGAAGAATAAGTTTTCTCCAGCCTGTGGTGTGGATGGAGACAAACACCTTCACAAAATTTAAGAATTTATGTTGCAACTGAGATTAGATACACTTTTATCTTGACTCCTGTTCATTTTTCAGCCCAAAGCATCAAAGGACTCCAGCACACCATTCTCTGCACCAGCCAACATGATGCTCCAACACTCCATGAATATTGCTGGTACACAAGTGCAAACAACACAATTTATTTTAGGGCTGAGATAAACTGTGCTGAGTCACAGCTTCTTTCACAGGGTAAAGGCAGTAACTGGGCTGCATTTCTGAGCACAAAGCTGACATTCTGAGGGTGACACTTGTTTTCTATCAAATCTGAAGAAAATGCAGCTGTGCCTAGATTAAAGAGATAAGGACATTTGAT